CCACTGAAGGTAGGAGGTGTGGTCATTTTTTTTTTTCCCTAATGTATGTAACAACCAAAAGAAAAGTTCAGAGATCCTATATAGTATATCTATACTTAATCTGCCTGAATTTCTGAATTAACTAAGCCATGTCTTTCCGTCTGAGTGGTGTTTGGTGTTCTCTTGGCCGCAAAAATGAAGATATCAACTTCAAATTTTAATGAAAGCATTGGAAGTTTTCCCACACAGGTTGGTATTGAAAATGGGCCCGGAATTTCACCCGCATTGGAGCATAAACTGAACGCAACTTCATTTTTCTTAACAAAAATTTGTGGATTTTTGCTCTTTACTCAGAAATTGTAAAAATTAGAAGGGCAAAATTGTCCACATTTGCTTTACGAAACACTCTACTTTTTATATGCATATGTGGGCCATGCCCACACAAAGCTATAATGATTACATTTTATTTTTTTCATTTTTTTGAGGTTTTATTCTTATTTATCATAACACAAACAGGCAGAATGTTTAAAATTATTTTGTACATTCCTCAGATAAAGATGTATTGTGTGCTTAAAAATGGGTTAATTCTACAAATAATATGGTAGACACCGCGACCTGGTGGGTTAGTTATATCCTACACCACTTGTTCTACAAGATGTACTAACTTAGTGCGGTCATATGTAACCCGCCGAAGGGCTTGAGATGGATCCACCTTTTATTATTCCGATCGATTTAGAATCATCACCTGAATTGATCTAAGCCTGTCCGTCCGTTTGATATCCGTATACATTTGTGTTCAAGCTACAGGTCGCAATTTTCGAGATATTTCGAAGTTACAGTGACGTGTTTTGGCCCAAGGACGAACGCTATTGAAACTGGTTCGGATTGGTTCACGCTTTCAACCACTATCCATATAATGCCCTATTCTGAAAAGTCGTTATAGGGAAAAAAATTTTAATTGTCAAAATTTCTCGGCAAATGCGACTAAGTAGTAGTATTTCGGCATTCTAAATTGGTATGAAACTTTTGGCTGAGGAAGGTTTTGAAGCCACTCTCATATAGCGAAAACCAAAGTTTATGACAAAAAGGTATAATTTTCAATGCTTCACGATAAAAATGATATCATAGTAGTAATTTAACATAAAAAAATGAACTGTGCAAATTTGGACCATCGCGGCCTATTTTTTGGCTCCTACCTTAATAACAATTTTCACGAAAATTGATCCTTTATAGAGCAGAAAAGTCTAAGTTTTAAAAAGCGATGATGGAAATTGACCCATAATATTATAGTAATTTCATACACAATTGAACTCTATAAAATTTGGACTATCTACTCTTATTTTCGGATCCCGCCTTTATAAGGATTAAACTTGTACTACATTAAGTTACGGTTTGGGCCCCCTTCCTCAGAACTTTGTGTTCTTTAATAAAAATAAGAACTGCGGTAGACAACGCGGTGTACGGTATTTAATGGTCGGCCTTTTCCGACTATAACGTTTTTACTTGCTTTTCAATGAACTTTTTTTTTCAAAAATTTATATTTTCTGACAAAGGCAGCAGGCGAAGCTTGATGTTCTGCCTCAAATAGCTGATTCTAGAGCACACACGTTTGACTCGGTGTATGATGAGGATACTCGCTACAGTCGAAAAAGGTTAAACGGTTAAATATCAACCTTAAAAATGTATTTTTAGTAATTCACGAATAACTACTAAAACATAGCTCATAGCATCAAGCGACTTTTGGCTATGAAGTTATGCCCACTTCTGATAAGTAGAATTTAAGAAACGTTCAAGTTGGTAACTAAAGGAAGACCTAAATCGTTGAGTTCGATGAGTGAGAAATTCGTGGGTGTAACATTGGGCATTGATCCTTAAGTAATTTTTTACAAACTTTAGTGAATGCCGGCAGATCGTCATAATTTCCATCAAAATCACTGTACATTGGCTTCTACTTTGGCGGGCTTGAAAAATATACAACAACTTCAAGTGTAGCTTTTTTTGTTATCGCGGGCTAGACTACCGGTCTATCGTCTCTGCTTTCAAGATGTGATTTATGAAGTTTTCTGTAGAATACCCGTCGCATCGCTAATGCAATTTCTCGTTTACAACCGTCCTAATATACCAAAAAATACATTATTATTTTATGTAACAGCATGTTTTTCTTTTGAGCTTTATATGGAGGCGAGCCTGAGACTATAACTGAAGTACTCCAAATTCAATAAAATTAACTTTTATACCAGAGATCTTACTATTCTTCACACACTTTCGTAGAGTACTAAAAGTTAAATTCTGCTGCCATAATGAGGTCTTCACGACAACCTACACATGGAGTGTGGGCTAAAAAATAGGCTTACAAGATCCATAATTTGTGCAGACAATTTTTATGCCAAACTAATATTACGTAACGATTCCCATTATAAAGTATTAAAACTTAGAGCTTTTTGACGCCTGAAGACAGGAACGCTTATATAGCTATAATTTAGCGATTTCGAAATTTACAGATATCTTCATGCAAGGACTTCCTCAACAACAAGGCCTTGTATGGTGAGGAGCCTTGTACAGTAAGGCAGGTTTCCTTTCTATCAATTTTCATAAATTTTGGTGTACAATTGGTTCATCAAAGAAAAAGATTACTAATTTTCGTAGCGTGATTGATTGCGAAATTACTTTTGTTTAATGCTTACGCTCATGGCCTGAAAGAATCGAAAGTTCCAACGTACGTTTTTTTGCGTATTTCTTCGAATCGAAATAGTGTTGTATTGCATTTCAAAGAAAGATATAAAAATTTTTTCTTCTTTTTTATTTAACCTATATATGTACACGAATTCTTCGAGTTTTTCTTCTCCCGCTATTGCAATCATTTTCTGACACTTGATACTTTAAATTTTCTTATTTTTGCATTCATTGAAATTAAATCTGGCGTAAGTATACTTTCTCTTCTCAGCATAGTTATCTGGAATAAAAGCTTGAGTAACGTTGTCGCCTTAAGCAACCTCTTCTGTATTTTTTCTTTCACCATCTTCTGCTAATTTCCATTCTACAGCCGCCGAGAGCAAATCGTCTCGTGTTTCTAGTGCAACTGCGAGTTTTTCAAATGATTTAGGTAAACTTGTCAATAGCATTTATTTAGCTTTTATTATTTTTTTTATAACCAATCACTCACGGATGCCCCCTACACGTGTATTGTCGTGATTTGATGCTCCTTATTTATTTGCAAAAAACATTAGTCAGTAAACAGCCGATACAAAATGCCCTTATAAACAAGTACCATTTAGATGAGTTAAACCGACTAGAGAAAGAATTATACATACAGAGACTAAATTTAAGTAATGCCTATAATACAATGATATTTAGTTTATTCAAATGTTGAATTTAACTTAAATCATGACGTTCAGCGCAATAATTTATGGAAAATAATGTTGATAAAAAATGTAGAGTATCAATATCCCATTAGGAGTTGCTATAATGTTAGTTTGTCTACTAAACGATTACTTTGTAAGAAATATAGATTGAATCTGGTAAATAGTAAATAGTTAGCTAACAACTCCTCCATTATGATGGTCATTTAACATACAATAAAAATGAGTGTAATACGAACGAAACTTTAGCAACTCTAAGGAGTAGGAAAAATTCGCCCTCAAACGAATTGAACTATATTGCGTAACTAAAGCGACAACGCGTACATTTAATCATTTCAATCGCCTATTGAAAATGAATAATAATAATCATTAAATAACTTTACATTAAACGCGAAAGCGAAGGAAGAGTTAGTAATTACTCCCGCATAATCGAAAGGGGAGAAAATTCCTTGAAACACTTGAAGGAATTTAAAAATGTAGCGTAGTGATGACAACGTGTCATGTTGAATAAGTTTCATTAAAAAGCCTATAGCAGTTCTCGCTGTTTCACGTTTGAGACCTGTTAGATTGATTAGAGGTCACTCACATTTTCATCTATATAGGTTCAACAAAGTTCTGAGATAACCGCTACTCTGTTGAACGCTGTAAACATCGCAATCAAAATTCGTGTTTTTTGATTCCTTCGAAATTAAAATTTATATTGAAATTTCTATTGAAACTTAGAATAGGAGCCTGGTACACAATTTATTTTAAAACAATCAACGGGTAGCAAAAATAGACGTGGACAGTTTTTATTGATCTGAAAGCCGCAGAAAATTTTCCATGTTTATAGTATATAGTAATTCAAAGGCTATGTTATCTTTCAAACAATGAATATGTATATTCTAACTCCGCCATATACACCCAACACATTTTTTACAAGCTTAACGCGTTTTTTAGAAAAATCGCGTGAAAAATATATCTGTAAGTTATGTTAAAATTGGGGATATGATCCGCAACTTTACAAAATCGTGCAAGATGAAAAACCTCCACATATTTTGCCAGAAAACCATGCAAAAAAACCATAATGAAATCCATATATGTATAAATTGTTGTAAGATAACAAAAATTCATTTTCATTACATAGAAAAACTCGAAATTAGTATACAGTGAAAATTCCCTCCATAAGCACATGCAACATATAAAAAATTAAATTGAAGATAGGAATAAAAATTAATTCTCCAACTATTCATCGCCACTTGGTAGCAATCGTTTCCTCTTTTTTGCGAACTGGATGAAAAATGCTATGTTCAATAGACATGTCGTAGATACGTCTAGCGCGAACGCCGGGTTTGATACAAATGAATAATTTCGTTCGTTATAAACGACCAAGTAGCAATAGAGTAAGTCAATGACCCTAAACCAATAAGCATAAGCAGACTGACTTTTGATCACAGTCTCCCCTCACTTGTATTTTGTCGCTGTGCACATAGCTTTCGGTGAGACAAAGTCATGTAAGAAAGTATTAGCGCTTTTATTGGTGAACTGTGTCGCTGTCGTGTCAAAAAAAAGTTGGTCTTATATTCAACTATTCAAATATTCAACTTTTACGTATTTTGTTTATCTACACTTTTGCATATGTACATATATACCATCAACAACAAAGCTTGCTTCCATTTTCAGTATTGCGGAACTCGGATTATAAATCTGTTAAAAGCCAATATGAATCCAAAATATGACGGCTATTGGCAGCAACATCAACAATTTGAGGAAATAATTTGCAGTATTAACGATATATGGCTTTCGCGTTTTTTCTTATTGTAAGATAAAAGCTTGTGCAGGCGTGGAGAGTATTTAGAATTTTCTCCTATTTTTTTTTGCCTGAAATATTATGGGAGCTGTTAAATTAAAATATCGGCTTTTTGGAGAACAGCTTAAACGTGCACAAAGTCACAAGTGTTATCAAAAGAAAGCGGATCAAAGAAATTCTCTCGTTTTATGGGCATCCCAGGTAAAATTCTGTACTTCGAAAGCGACGCTAAGATTGTTTCGAAGTTTAAAAACTATTGCTTCCGATAAACGTTATATTATGATGACTGTGCTGCTTGTAGTGTCAATCGTTTTGTCGGGAAACACGGGTATGTAAACGGTTTTCAATTTTAGATTTTTATAAATTTTCTTATAATTATAATTCTAGCATTAGCTGCTCAACGAGATTCTCTGAAAACCAAGGATCCTAATTCGATTAGTAATAATGCCAACTCAATACCAAACAACATTGGTAGCAATGGGCCCGGCAGTGTAAATACGGGCAATCAGGGTAATACTAATAATATAAATAACGGAAACTCCAACTCTGACTATACATCAGCGAATGCAACTAAAGCTTTAAATTCATCTACAATTACTTCCGTCTTATCGACTACATCAAACGCTGGTGCAGGTTATGTGACAACTGTTTCAACACAAGTCAATAACGCCGCACCTACTTCTACGATATTAAACAGCAATTCTCAAAAAAATTTGAACAGTGGTAGTACCGGCGTAAATCGAAACAATCTTGACGCATCGGAAAGCGTTCAAAGTGGGCCATACTTTGATAGAACCGTCTCAAGGAATGTTACAGCACTTCTAGGAAAAACGGCTTACTTAAATTGTCGTGTCAAAAATTTGGGAAATAAAACAGTAAGTTTATAGTTTATACATCATTAAAAAAAAAGAAGATCTTTATTAAAATGATAGATAGCCGTATTGAACGGCACTGGGGTTCGAATCTAATGAAATTCAATACCCTTTCATCGAATTGCAGATGTTACTTCAGGTTTCATGGGTACGGCACCGAGATATTCATCTATTGACAGTGGGCCGTTACACTTACACGTCGGATCAGCGTTTTCGTGCCATACATCAACCACAAACTGAAGACTGGATTTTACAGATAAAATATCCTCAGCATCGCGACTCGGGAATTTATGAATGCCAAGTATCGACAACTCCTCACATGAGTCACTACATTCATCTGAATGTTGTCGGTATGGTTTCTACTTAAAAACATCCTATAAGAATGTAAAAATTTTGGATACCCTTCAGTAATAATAAAAAATCGATATTTGAAAGCATGATTAAACGCACATGTATACAGGGTATCCAAGGTGCCGTCCACCTAATATTTATAAAATTTTGTAAAATATGGTTTCAATATTTTTTCTATTATAATTCTTATAATTTATATAGAGCCGTCTACTGAAATCATTGGTGCTCCCGATCTTTATATAGAAAGCGGTTCTACTATTAACCTAACCTGTGTTATTTTAAACTCACCTGAACCTCCCGCCTATATATTTTGGAATCATAACAATGCTGTAAGTTCACAAGAATTTTTTTCGTTCATTTACGCCAATTATTTGAAGGAAAACATTGAGATTTGAACAGATTTTAAAAGAATTTAAGAAGTAAAGTGTTTCGGCGTTTAATAAGAACTTTGGAAGTTAACTACTTTTCTGCTTCGATCACGTCATGTGATGTTTTGCGCATTCTCTAATATGTGGGGTTTCATGAAAAGTGCGCGTTTGCCTGTGTGATTTTTGCCAAAAACGAGTAAGTAACTGCACTAAGCAAAGTGGCGTTGGAAGCTATGGAAAAATTTTTATCATAAGATATTTAAAATTAAACTTTTCTGCTATAGGGCTTGCTATTTCGAACAACGCCCATATAAAAAAGCGTCCAAAATATCGATTTGGTTTAAATTTCGTCCACTTAATTATACGCTACGTCATTTGTGCGAACGGTTGTAACACACTGACCACCCGACTTCAGATAAACCCAATTTTTATTATACCGATCGCTGCACGATTATGTGCTAAATTCATCTAGGCTTGTCTGTTCGCTTGTCCGCCCGATGTCTATCCATGTATTCTTACAGGTTGCAATTTTCGAGGTACTACTTTTTGATTAGTCGTTATAAGAAAAAATTTTGCGATGTTTGGAATTTCGCCATAAAAATAACCTAAGTAAGAGTATTCCGACATTTGAAATTAGCGTGAAAGCTTTCGATCGGATAAGGCTTTTTTTTCAAGCCTTTGTTATATAACCGTTCCTACGAAAATTGAAACTTTATATGACATAAGGACTAAACACCAATACGTCTTGAGTAAAATTCATAAGAATAATTTACCATAAAAATGAACCTTACCGAACAGTTTTACTGAAAAACAAGGCCTTATATGCTAAAAAGGTATAACTTTTAATATTTTATGATGAAAATTGATTGTTTCTTAGTAAATCGGAGATAGGAAACTTGAATCATATAGGTATATTTTTTACACCGCACCATATATAGAGGTTTCATGAAAGCAAGCCCTTTTGTGGTGACAAAGTATAATTTGCGGTTTGTTATGACATAAACAACTGGAAAACCCTAAAGTCTTTGGTAAGCAAAATTATGTTTACTAAATTTGGATTACGACAGTTGACGCTTTGAATATTTTCCAATATGAGGACTTTCATTAAAGCTATGCATTTACTCAAATGTAATATTTTTTGGTGTGTTATTAAGAATATCGGTGAATGTCTGTATTAAACTAAGTGATGTGGGACATTTAATGATTGGCCTTGACCGACTTAAGCGCTCTTACCGCTCATTCTTGATTTGCTTTATGTGACTTGGGAGGGGGACATTGTTACGATGTGGTAGAGTTATGGATTTTGGGTTTGGCAAAAATGCTGTCTTGTTCACGGCTGTAAGCACATCCATTAATTCGCGCTAAACTCTATAAGCTGGCGATAAATACGCAGAACTTGCTGTCAAAAACGTTTTGGATTTAATTTTTTCATTAACAGATAATTAATTATGATTCCCCTCGAGGAGGGGTGTCTGTCGTCACCATAAAAGGCGAAACAACAACATCGTTTTTGCTAATTAAGTCAGCCCGGCCATCGGATTCTGGTCATTATCAATGCAATCCATCGAACGCTAAACCGAAGAGTGTCACTGTTCATGTTCTTAATGGTAAGTAACTAAATTTCGCGGCATACAAGAGATTTTATTCATTTAAATCATTTCATTAAACGGCTTGCAAAGCATTAACGTAAAAAATGAATTTAAGCAAACAAACTTTTTGTAAATTTGTACAATGAGAAGCGATGTGATGGCAAACATAAAAACTAAGCGTGAGCTGTTATAACATTGTTAGTAAGGTCTCGGTCAAGTTTATCAATTTGAACATTAAAATATATGTATTATCATTGTACTGTATGAATAAAATCGAACCTATCGCCCAGGTCCGTTTTTCTAGGGAACCAGTTATAAGTTAGCTACACTCTTGTATAGAGAGATAACTTATATTGTGAGGCTGTTTATTCAATTCTTATGTCACAAGTTTCTCAAGGCATCATTATCTGTGTAACTTAGTATTTATAAGATTCTGCCGGAGGTACATTTTTCTGTTTCTCTCGAGCAGAATACCGGAATGTTGGAAATCAAATATTTTTGGGACGATTTTTGTAACTAGTTGACGTTGACGATTATGACGACAATTCATCTTATCAGGAGAGAGGACATGATCAATCCAAGGTAAAGGGAAGTGTTTAGTTGAGCCCACTATGCCCCGGCACTTACGCTAGGCAATGAACGGAAAATGCCAATTAACCCATTTAGTACATATAAAGACATATCAATCGATGTTTCCTTTAGCGGATTCGAAGATTTTTTTTTGTATATAGGTACGTAATTCCATGTTTACCCCGTAAAATATCCTCTAATAAAATTCAATATGAAAAACTATTTAAATATCCCATGTTCCGTATTCTTTAATGATAGAATGTGCATTGTTTCCTACAGAGATGACTTCCATTATACCAGAATTCACGTGGCCGCTGCGATGGTTCGTTGCGATATTTAATTGTGCAAAAACGAAGCGTCATTTTAATTAAGCAGAAGAGAATGCTGACGTTCATATTATGGCTTAGACCCCGCAATAAATTTAGGGGTATATTTGGTAAAGGCCTTGTAGCACTTCTTGCACATATTCTAGAAAAGCATTTGCAAGGATTCCAAGCCGTCTGATCGTTCAGGCAAGATAAAACCAAATCAGACGCTTGAGTGACTCGTGCTTTGAGCGAATTGTTACTCAGCTTTCACCTTTTGCTATTAAATCTTATATTTCTCTATTTTGGCATTGCTTTCGGGAAGGAGGATCTATTGTCACGAATCTTTTAGAGTTTACTTGCCATGTTTTCAAGGTTGTTTCTGGTGGCTCTCGCACAGATGTCGTGTAAACTGATTTTAATAAAGCGTTTGGCTTAGTTAATCATAAGTTCTTGATTTTTGAACTCTGTGCCTCTCGATTTCCTTCCGACTTACTGAAATGGATAAGCTCTTATCTGCCTAATAGATTATTCGGGGTTCTGTTTAACTTGATCGCATGACTTTCCCGTGACCTCTGACGTCGCTCAAGGCAGCCAAATAGTAAACCTTTTATTTAATTTATACATTAATGATCTCCCCTCGATAACTAAATCCTTGGAATCGCGATCTTATCAGCTTCACATTGGCTTTAATAATTTGGTTACATGGTGCTCGTTAAATTTTATAAAATTAAATTTAAAAGGATGTAAGAAGTTTTTTTTATTAAGAAGCAAGTCATTCAGTACCGAGTATTTCATTAACTCACACAAGTTGGAAAACATTGATTTGTTCATCGTTTTAGCGGTTACATTAGATCAAAGATTACGTTTCAATTTGCACATTGAGGTCTTTTTAAGTGAAGTTAGGTCGGCGCTTAGTTTCATTAGGAGGTGCTACAAAGAGCTGAAAGATCCTTACAAAGCTTTAGTGTCCCTAAACACTTTTCTAGACACTTTATGTTCATTAAGCTGAGTCAATGTAAATTAGTCGCTTAACCCGTTTAGAGTTGTTTGCAGGAACCTAAATGATGTCTGCCACTTAATCACAATATAGGATTCTTTAAAGTCTATCAAAACAATTTTGCTTAGTATGCGCGATTTACCTATGTCGTACTTAAACTAACTTGCAATCTTAACATCTCATTATGATCCGAAAATTAATTGGTGTTGTTTACTGTGTATCGGTTGCCAAGGGTTTGCATGTTTGCGATGGCTTAGGGGTTCACTTGCAATTTGGTTCTGCACTGGTTGCGGGTGTGCCTGCTACTCTACTTGTGTACGTGTTTTTCGTATTTTTTTCTTCATTTTTATCTTTCTTATTTATTTGTACATGAATTATTATTTATTTACCATAATTTTCTCTTTACTTTTCCTTATGTAGTTTATACTAGTTTTTAATATTAATTAGAATAAGTTTTACTTCAAAGAGTCAATTGAATTCGATTGTTAATTTATTTTAGTTGAGTTTCATGCGTAAGTAAATAAAACTAAACAATCCTTCTTGCGAGACAACAGCCCTAATGATGGACTCGTTTGTCAGAAAATAGTGCGAGGCTACGTCATGTTGAATTCTTGTCCTTAAAATTTTGAATATGTTCCAAGTGTGATATAAACGAATTGACTTCCGGATGTTAGTGAAAAGCAATAGAAACGTTCTCGCGTAAGTGGGAGGATAAGTGTTGAAAGTGAAACATTTTATATATATTTACTTGAAAAACACTGTTTCGCAAAATCATATTGCTTAGTGAACGCATCGTAATTCTGCGTGAATTAAAGTGAAATTTGACCAAAAACCGCAAAGCGTTTTGCGAAATTGACTTAATAGAGAAATTCAGCTTTGCTCAATCTTATAAGCGAAGGGCAAGTGTTCGTACAGTGTTTCTAAAGGAAGTACTTTGAACTAAAAGCCTGTAGTTATTTCACTGGTATTTTTGTAGAAGGCATATGGACGCCTGCATCACGGCGACTAAGTAATAATCAATAACTAGTTCGGACGGTGTATAGCACCAAACTGCTAAATATCCATGAACTTGGGCTTATTAGGAGCCGTCATAGACCCGAAACATAGATCTCTGTCGACGTGGGAACACTGCTTATTAAAAAACTGACTGACTGACCGACGTTATTGTAAACAAGAGAAGTTATTATTAGTTCTTGAATCTTATCCAAAGATTAATCCTTCAAATTGTACATTTTGGAATTCAACATATTCTGCAGCGGTGAATGTGGTGGTTTTCTTTTTACTATTATTTGATAGAATATTTTACTTTTATATCGGCTGGAGCAATATAAAAATGTTTGAGTTACGGAACAGCAATAAAAATGTAAATTAAACAGGTGTTTCTCACTCTGTTTCCAGGGGAATTCCCAGCAGCAATGCAGCGCGCGGGACAAGCGTATCATCGAATGTCTCAAAATCAATATATCTTAGTGTACCTGTCAATGTACTTGTTTACCTTAGCGTATATCAGTCAATACGTAAGGCTACCGCTATCAGGTGGAGACAAGCATGCCTACATGTGACAGCGACAGCAATACGTTTGGTAGGAATATTAACTTTATTGTTAATTCCAACCGCAAAAATCTTATATAACTTGAGACTTTCTAATATTGATAATGACGATGATAACGATGATGATGATGATGATGATGATGATGACGGTGACGATGACAGTGTTTCAAGAAGAAAGTTCTGCTATTATTTTCATAAAGCGCAGTTACAACTAATAGAAGAAATGTGGCCATTAAGCGATGTATTGTTACGCTGCACAAATATTGTACGTTGCACAAATATTGTACGCTGCGGTGAGTTAAGCGCGAAATGGCAATCAAACCGTTTCAACCTCAAATGTTACTGCTGCTGCTGCTGCTGCTGCTGCCACTACTACTGTTCTTTAAGTAGACCGAGTCAACAACAACAACAACAACATCAACAACAACAAAAACTATCAATGCAACATTTAAAATTCCTTTATACTCCCAAAATGGATATAAGCTGAGTTGAGTATGAAAAGAATCTATAGCAACAACGATATACGGACGGACGTATTTTAAACTAAATATTCTTACGAAAAGGTTCAAAACCGTAAACAGACACACACACTTTGTATTAACGAAAACTATTCAAGGAAAAACTACTCGTAATATGTAAATTTTTTCTACTCCAAAGAAAATGGAAAATCTATTTTACTCTGTTTTTTTTTTTTTTTTTTTTTTTTTTTAAATATAAATTAAATGTAAATATACTTAACACACACACACACACACATTCATTGTACGCACATGCATACATACATATACACACTAACAAGGGGAGACTTCTATGTATATACATGCAAATAGACAGAATGGTGTCTATCGAGTTTTATTTACAATAATGTATTACTCGCATGCCACACATACTTATACATATATATATATAGATAATTGTTGCCTAATGCTTTAAAAGGAAATAATTTGATTATATTGTTATGTAATGTATGTGTAGTCAATATACTCTATAAAAGCAAAAGGCAACTAAAGTGATGATGTCTCTACATAAATTAATGTCATTAAGGTCTTTTAACTAACCTACGATCATATAGTTAAGTAAATAAATATTTCCCCACACGCACACACACACACACACAGACACACGTGCATTCATACATGCATTTACTTACGGACAGTTAGACATGCATTTTTAGTTACTAATAAGGCGTAATGGCATCTAATGCATTTTTTGGGAAACATCAATTTATAACACAACAATGCACACATCCATACATCTTCTCTCAGACGTGCATATGCAAATTCATACAAATATATTTCTATATATATATACATATATATATATATATATATATATATATATATATTAGTACGTACACATACTCCCATATTTAAACTAAAACACACGTGTATACTTTTGCATGCATACATATATACATCCAAACATACACACACATATATATATATATATATATATATATGTATATATATGTATATGTATATATATATATATGTATCCAATTAAATAATTTTACTCACCTATAAGCCTATGTGTATTTGTGCGTATGCACGTATGTGTGTGTGCAGTGGCTTGTAAGGAAGATATCATCATATATAGATAATTATTAAAAACATTTTTCATATAAAATTCACAGAAGCCGTATTGTACTTAACTCCTGTTGAATATTAAGCATTTGAATAACAAAAATAAAAAAAAACAAAAGTAGATAAGTAATCAAGTTTACAAGTTGAATGAGCTATAAATAAATAAACCAAAAAAAATATTTGAAATATAAAAATAACATATGTAACTACAATATTAATCATAAATCTTATATTTATGTTACATCCGTTTCATCGATAGCTCTGTTGTAATGTGTTTCTGAAAATGGAAAACACCTTAATTTTTTTAAAAACCTTCTGCTTTCCTTTCTTTTTAGGTAACCAAAAAAAAAAAAAAATGCAGCCGTTTTTTCTTATGAAGCTTCAGAACTCTTCTCCGCCGATTCCATCCACTTGGATTAGTGCCGGTTTGGCTTTGCAATGTCATAACTAGAAGCGAAAACAAAAGGAATAAGGCTTAACCTTTGATTGTTGTGTTGTCCAGAAAAAATAATACTTTGCCTCTAGAGTTCATGGCTTTTTCGTGAAGTTTGTGAATGAATTTCAATTGTAGCGATGTTTCATTACCCCATCTCCTAACAAATTAGTCTCCATTCTAGTGATGCCTTTTTTTTAATTCTTATGTTGAAGGAAACAATCAATTTTTGATTTAAGTAGCCGAATAGCATGTCAGGTACCATTTTGACCTCTGTTTACTAATGCACTGATATTGTTTGTGCAAAGACGCCACTGAGATGAACATTTAACCTTCTTGAGTATAATTACACATAAGACTTGGCTATGGCCATTTGAATAAATGAAGTCGTTTGATCTAGTTGGGTGCGATGTAGTTCTCGATATATACTTTTGAAATATAGAACAATACCATTAAAAAATTCAAATTCTTTCTTTACAAGTTAGATGGATTCCTCAAAAATCCGTGCAAAAAAAATCGTTCAAAAAAATACATGCGACATATGGTAAATTTGGCGACATATGGATACATGGTGATCCACAGTTTTAAAATATCATGCAAGATGAAAAACGCTATATATTTTTTAAAAAAACCGTGTAAAAAAAGTAATAATGAAATCTATGTTACATATTTATAGGACAAAACCCATTTATTTTTCTTACAAAAGGCAAATTAAAATTGGTGGACAGTAATAATTCAATGGATAGGTATGTACAACATAGAAAAGTTGAAATTGAAATTAGGAATAAAAATCAATTTTCCAATTATTCATCCATCATAATTCCATGTTATTGATTTCATTTCAATCTAAAAGCGCATTACAAACTGTGAAATGAATGAGCGAACCGTGACAAGTTTGATTCTGAATCATTATGCATCGCATGTTCTTAGTCTATTGAAAACGATATGTAGTCTAAGTTTTTCCTTTTTCACTTTACTAAGTCATTTTAATCTCCTAGGATGTGAATGTATGTTCAATCAGTTAGGTTTTGCAATTCGTGGTGGATGATTGTTTAAAGATAACGAATTAATTAGCATGCAATTTGTAATTATATGGAGCCAGTTTGCCAATCGGTCTCCGCCACTTAGTTAATTCATTTAATTTAATTACAGTGTTTCCTCGATTACAACATAAAATAGTCTTAGTCTTCCAGATCGCCAAATATTTTTAAAAATCTCATCGTCCGAATTGAAGTTGTGAAGGCGAGCTGTTGCGACCTCTTATTTAAATTCTCTACTAATATTTGCAAGCAAGTTTCAAAATCGAATCGTTGCGTGTGTGTGTGTATGTGTATGCGTGTGTTAAACGGAAGCCAAAAATACAGAATTATAATAAATGTTTCGAATGAAAGAACTGAATAATTAGTTGAAGCAACTGTTCGGAAAACTCATTTATTGTGAACAATAATTATTCATGATTTGTGGTGAGAAGATTTACATAATAAAAAACGGCGAATATTTTTTTTTTTTTTTTTTGGATACCTAATATAGTTTCCTTTAAGCATTTGATCAAAATTGTTATAAAAACAGGATGAGTAAATGTTCTTTTCATAGATGTTTAGTTAAATGTTTGAAGTCATTTACCACATATAGGTTCGATGATTTATCTAATGACATTAATGAAATTCAATTTTCTCTCATCTTGTTCATAGGATACTTTTGGAATCAATGCATCTGTTTCGGTTTCATTTTCCTAGTATATGTATTTGTATATGTAATTTTTGCGCACATACCATTTCCCTTTCGTTCCGGTGTTGTTAAACATACACGTATATGTAAATGTAAAACCATTATCTTAATAAGAGTTTTAAATAAAAATAAATGAAAATAAATAAATAAATAAATAAATAAAAAAGAGAAAACAAAAATTGCGCGCTAATAATAATTATAAACTAAACTAAAATTTGAATTAACTTCAAATGTTATTAATGGCTTAAATAAACAGAAAAACAAAAGAAAAAAGGGGTTAATCTAATCGCATATAAAGCACAAGTGCGTAAGGATAAGCAACATTAAAAAAAAAAAAAAAAAAAATTATTAAATAAATTTAACAGAAAGGATTAGTAAAGTGGAATGATAACAGTATTCAATTATATTTCATTTATTCGTGTAATGTTGAACAGAGACACATACAAATACACATACAGCCACAAAAAAAAAACAACAACAATCACAACAACAATAACAAAAACAAGTTATGTAATGTAAAGTTTATAAATACAAGTTGAAAAAGAATAATTAAAAAGCAAAAACTGAATACAAGAAAAAGTTGAAAAAAATAATAATACACTTTAAATAAATAACTTACAGAAATGTTATTTTATATCGCTTTTACTCTTATTACGATTATTAATTTTTTTTCTTTTTTTTTTTTTTTTAATAAAAAAAAAGGTAAATATCGATTATTTGTCAGATTTAAAATATTTCAGAATAGCGCTTACATTGATTTAGCCGCGATTTATATTGCGGCGAAATGTCGCCTTTTTAGTATTATATAGAACATCAATTCGTTTTCGCTCCACTTCGTTCTCTTAATCTTAAGGTGTAATATATAAAAGTTGCAATGCCTTTTTTAATCTTGTAAACCATTCAACTCAAGAGTGTATTCACGGAATATAACACCGTCACGTATCCTTTTGGGATACTTAAAGGTTTCCGTTGAAGCTCGCTTCGATTTCGCGTTTTTTTTAAATATTTTTTTAGTGGGACCAATCGCCCAGGAAATGCCCTTTATACATGTAACCTGGTAACGGTCAGAAAGCAAAAGGTAAAATATAGGGTGTGACAGCAACTCCATGGATATATGTCGGCATGCCATCGTTGATATTAAAGCTACGATTTACTGTGGCGTATTCAGATGTGAATCCGCGAGCAATGACTTGGTAGTCGCAATTTTTATCTGCTTGGGCGCTCTGGTGGTTGCGGCAACTATTTGTTCACTAACAGCTATTTATTGCCATCAAAGGTTTGGCGAAAATATTTTAATGGGTGCGTGCATTCCTTCGTATTTTTTAATTAAAAAGGCACGAAAAGTGACAATGGCTAATCATAAATGAAATTGATGGACTACGTTCCGTTCGTACGAACTCAAGTCATTTTCTAAGAAATAAGTGGCATATTTTGGTAATAAATTGGAGGAACTAGATCTATAAAGCCAGTATGAAGCGTTTGAAAGCCGATTTAGCCCGCTATTACAGTGAACGCAGTGCGTTGGGAATGAGCCACGTTAAGTGATAGTCTACTTGTTTCCGGTTTAAATTGCTTCATTTTACGCTGTCCTGATGTCAGAAACGGCTTTTCGGGATGTTTATGATAGTTCTGGTTTTTACCAATGCACGTGTAGCGTATCATTATATAAAAGCGTAATTATGCTGTTTCGTTTAATTTACCTACGAGCGATAATGTTTTACCCTCATTATACCGAGTAACAGCTTGTCCACAGTTACCACTTGTGTTTAACTGCTATGAAGGCAAAAGAAAGAGAGAGAGCGAAAGAGAGAGCAATGCCTAATTTTTTTCCTGTTTTTACATAGAGTTTCCTGCAATAAAAGTGAATTAAGTCTTTTTATACGTTTTAGTTTAGTTTAGAATGCTTAAAAAATTGTTTGACCGAACTTTTACTGACATTTATTAATAAAAAG